CCTACAAGTGCGGGCCTGTCGGGCTTACCTAGGCGAAGAGAGGGGTGGCGCGCTGGGCAGGGAGGCTGGATGGGGCTTCTGTCGAGCCCTATTGGGCGCAGGTGTGAGGAGGGGAGGAGGGTCAGGTTCCGGGGATTCCCCATTCATACCTTTGGTTTTGCCAGATCCGGAACAGGATGAGGTGAGAGGTGGGGGGGGAGGCATCTTGGCAGTGCCTAGATTTCATGCTAGAAACTCCGTTTTCTGGGCACATGAAGTTGTCAGGGTGCCAGTAACACTGATGGCAGATTGGTAGCAGAAAAGGTCCCTTTTCGTCATCTGCACCTTGTGCTCTGCCTTGCCTGTGACATATGCTCGGTCAGTGCTAGTCCTTGCCCAGATTTCCTTATGGGGTGAGTTATGGGGATGGATTCTCAGGCTGCCTAAGCCTGAACCCTTCTCCCAATCTCCCTCCCACCCCATAGTGACTTTCTCATTCTTCCTGGGTACATTGACTTCACTGCAGACCAGGTGGTGAGTATGGCTGGGAATTGGAGCCTGGGCACCAAGCTGGGGTAAGATGCTGCTCTCCCCTGCACTCTGTGCTACCTCACCAGATTGGACTTGGGGGTGGATTCTGTGGAATGGTCTTGCTGCCTCGCATGCAGGTTATATAGGGTAACCTGTTTTGTGGGGTTTTTGGTACTTTGAGGTGCTTTCTCACTCTAGTGGGCCTTACCACCTCAGGACTTGACCTCTGCGCTGACCAAAACGATCACTCTGAAGACTCCACTGGTTTCCTCCCCCATGGACACAGTCACTGAGGCTGGGATGGCCATAGCAATGGCGGTAAGCCCCATGGGGTCCTGGGGCAAAAGCAGGGAGCCCATCTTTTTCTGAGAGCATATAATTATACGTCTCATTACTTGTCACTTACTGTTCTCCTTCTGTTTGTCCTGCAGCTTACTGGCGGAATTGGCTTCATCCACCACAACTGTACACCTGAGTTCCAGGCCAACGAAGTCAGGAAAGTAAAGGTCAGAAAGGCAAACATCCTGGCCAAGAGTTCCTGGGAATTGCACTGAGCTGGGGTTGGGGGATTGCTTTGCTCCCGATTTAGTGCCCTTCCCTCCCATTTGTGGTATTCAGTTCCTAAGTAAAAGAGCCTGAAACGCAGTATCTTCAGGCAGCAGAAGAGGACAGTGCCTCCGGCATACCCGGCATACCCGTATCTCCTATTCCTCCCTTCTGGGAAAGATTTGAATGAAGTGTTGGTGTGATTTGGTCATGTGACACGTCCAAGAGGGAGTTGGGCAGAGACCCCAGGCTTCAGACCAAGAGCCTCACAAGAAGGGAGTTAAGAAGTGCCCTTTTCCTACCATCCCTTCCAGAAATACGAGCAGGGATTCATCACCGACCCTGTGGTCCTCAGCCCCAAGGATCGCGTGCGGGATGTGTTTGAGGCCAAGGCCCGGCATGGCTTCTGTGGGATCCCCATCACGGACACCGGCCGAATGGGGAGCCGCCTAATGGGGATCATCTCCTCACGGGACATTGATTTTCTAAAGGAGGAGGAACACGACCGTTCTCTGGAAGAGGTGAGTGCCACTGGCAGAGCACACAGCCAAGTTCTGGCAGCCGAAGCCAAAGAGAGGGGGGTGGGTGTGTTTTATTGGCTGAATGACATCTCTGCAGGCCTCTGCTGTCCAGGAAGGATGGATGCCCAGCCAAGTTTCTGAACTTTCATGGCGTTCTCATATCCCCCTTATCCGAGGCTCTCCAACTGCACAGATGCTTGCCAGCACACATGCTATGTTGTTTGCCACTCCAGGGTGGTTGACAGCTTCAGTCTTCTTCTGATCTATTATTATTATTTCTTTGTTACCGTTTTTTGTTCACAGTGTAACAGGCACCATATCATCCTTTCTCCTTAGTTCTTACTCTTGCCACTAGACACTGGGACTGTTGGATTTCCTTGAGGGTGGTTTGGGTGCTGTTGGAGGAACATGGTAATTTTTGGAACCACACGCCTAGATTAGTGTAGCGTCTGTGGATAGGTCTGGTCTCTTCATCTGGCCCTTTCTCATATCTTCCTTCCCTCCCAGATCATGACAAAGCGGGAAGACTTGGTGGTGGCCCCTGCAGGCATCACATTAAAGGAAGCAAATGAAATTCTGCAGCGAAGCAAGAAGGGTGAGTGAGTCCTGGAGATGGGAGGGGGCCTGGAACCAAAGCCCAGGGCCCTAACTCATGTCCTGCCCTGCCCCCAGGAAAGTTGCCCATTGTAAATGAAGACGACGAGCTGGTGGCCATCATTGCCCGGACAGACCTGAAGAAGAACCGGGATTATCCACTGGCCTCCAAAGATGCTAAGAAGCAGCTGCTGTGTGGAGCGGCCATTGGCACACATGAAGATGACAAGTACCGGTTGGACTTGCTGGCCCAGGCTGGTGTAGATGTAGTGGTTCTGGTGAGCTGCTGCACAGGTGGGGTGTTGGCGTAGCAGGGGCAGCTCCCATGCGGTAGTCTCACTGGGACTTCCTCCCTGTCCCAGGACTCTTCCCAGGGAAATTCCATCTTCCAGATCAACATGATCAAGTACATCAAAGATAAATACCCCAGTCTGCAGGTCATTGGAGGCAATGGTGAGGCAGGCAAGACTGAGGGCCGAAGGGTGTTGGGGAGCTGGGCTCCCACCTGGACTTTTGCATGAGCCTTTCTCTCTCTCCCTGCAGTGGTGACTGCTGCTCAGGCTAAGAACCTCATTGACGCAGGTGTGGATGCCTTGCGGGTGGGCATGGGCAGTGGCTCCATCTGTATCACGCAGGAAGGTAAGAAGATGCTTCAGCAAGGGCCCTTAGCCCAACCTGCCCTGGAGCCAAGTGCTTTTAGGGGAACTATACCATGAGTCCTCCAATAGGGGCAGGCCTGGGGGCCAAACAGGCCTCTTGGATGGGTGACATGCTGAAAGCAGGATGAGCTCTTGTCATCCCTCACCTGCCACCCCCTGCCTAGCCTGGCGTCTTCACTCCTGCTCTGTGCCCTCTCTAAACTCTGGTCTGTTTGTTTTTAGTGGCTCCCAAGATCCCTCCAGACATAAAGTCCCACAGCCCCAAATGCCCTTCTACTGTCACGGGCTGCTATAGTAAGTCCGGCCCGGCCCACTGGCCCGGCCCAGCTGCCCACTGCCCGGCTGCTTGGTTGACTGTAGCTGTAGCTCCCAGGGTTTGTGGTGCTGATGGGTGGGCAAGGCAGACTTGGACAGCCCGTGGTTTTTGGGGCTGCTCCAGAACATAGTCCTGTCTTCCTGGGGCACTCGTAGGGCAGGACCTTCTTCCCCAGGAAGACCCTGCTCTGCTTACCTTCTCTGCAGTAGGCACGAATCAAGTGCCAACTCAAGAGCCTGCTAGCCCTTCCACATGACCACTGCTCTGATCTTGCCTGAGCTGCCCACCACACAGGAAAAGGGGCTCAGCCTGACCCAGCGCCTCTGGGTACTAACTGCACGGTGACCCTTGCCCCACCTGATGCCAGCTAGGCGGGGCTTTCCAGCTGATAAGACTGCATGTGCCTGAGGCTGCCCTGGGCCCTGCACACATGCACGTGCACACGCAGACGTCAGTGGAGGCCAGCACAGTTGTCTGTACTGTGTAAGACAGACGGGACAACAGTCAACCCAGACACTCCTCTTCCTCAGCCCAGCTGCAGTTCTGGTGCAGGTGTAGCTGAGGGCTCCTGAGTGTTTAGTGTGGTCATTGGGCCCCTTGCCTATCCCCACTAACCCTGCCTGCCCATCTGTTCCTTCATCCCTCAACAGTGCTGGCCTGTGGACGGCCCCAGGCAACAGCTGTGTACAAAGTATCAGAATACGCACGGCGCTTTGGTGTCCCAGTCATCGCTGATGGAGGAATACAAAATGTGGGCCATATTGCCAAAGCCTTGGCCCTTGGGGCCTCCACAGGTAAGGCCCAGCACCCATGGAGCCTGGTGGGGCTCCTTCCGCAGTGCTGCTCAGGCTCCACCTCAAGCATTGCCTCTGTCCACAGTCATGATGGGCTCCCTCCTGGCTGCTACTACTGAGGCCCCTGGTGAATACTTTTTCTCTGATGGGATCCGGCTGAAGAAGTACCGTGGCATGGGTTCTCTTGATGCCATGGACAAGCATCTCAGCAGCCAGAACCGATATTTCAGGTGGGAGAGACAGACCAATTCCTCCACCCCACCCCTGCCAGTGCCCTCATCCCTACTGTGACCTTGCCCATGTCTTGGCCTGTTTTACAGTGAAGCTGACAAAATCAAGGTGGCCCAGGGAGTGTCTGGGGCTGTGCAGGACAAAGGATCCATCCACAAATTCGTCCCCTACCTGATTGCGGGCATCCAACACTCCTGTCAGGACATTGGTGCCAAGAGTTTGACCCAACTCCGGTGAGTCTGGGGAGCTAAGGTACAGATGGACGTTGGTCCAGGGCCAGCTAACCACATCTGACACTGGTTCCTATATTCAGAGCCATGATGTACTCTGGGGAACTCAAGTTTGAAAAGAGAACATCCTCAGCTCAAGTAGAAGGTGGTGTCCACAGCCTCCATTCGTAAGTGACCAACACCCCCACCCCTCCAGTCCTCTGCCATGCCTCCTTCCTTCTGCCCTCACCTCACAGTTGATCCTTCTGTCCACAGGTATGAGAAGCGACTGTTTTGATCCAACAACCCCTCCTCGGTTTTTCAATAAAAATTTGAAAAAAGTAATGCCTGGTTTTTGAGGTCAGCAGGAAGGGTGGGGCTCTGCAGCTGCCACCACCACAGATGCACACAAACACATCACCCTCATTTCCAGGGACAGCCTCAGGCCGAGATAAGGGTGATCCATGGCCATGGAAGAATTCAAAAGTGTCCCCCGAGGCTGCCCACAGGTCAGTTCTGAGCACCCCTGGCTCCCTAGGAGGGCTCATGGGACCGTCAGTGAGGCCCTGGACTGACATCCACAGGGCCTCCTGGTAGCCAGCCTAAAGCTTGGCCACATGTGACCAGATCCAAGACCCATGTACATGTTACCTAATTTGAATCTCTAAAGGACCTTGTGGGGAAAGAAAGCACTGAGGTCCCCTCTAATCTGCTTGTGAACAAATAGGCAACCTGGGTTTGGAATAGGTGCACATATTGCCTCCCTGCCTCTGGAGGGCCAGGAGTCCCAAGGAATCTAGATGAAAAAAGTGACCACTTGGCTCTGTCACGCCCTACTGAGAGCCACTGAGCCAGTAGCAACACGCCTGCTACAAAACATGAGAGATGATTAAATTATTAACAGTCTGGCAAACAAGTGTGAAAGTGTTGGGAGCTCTTGCACCCCACAGAAAAGGCTAGGGCCCTCCTGGTCACCAGGTCAGTTCCTGGCGGTGCATTCTGCAGCCTGGGCCAGAGATGGTGTGAGTGCAGTCTCTCCAGGTGGTGGGATGAGAGCAGCTCCTGTCACACGGCCTTCATGACACAGGAAGTTGAAGGTGGCACAGGCATTAGGCTGCAAGAGAAGGCAGGTGTCAGCCTGGCTTTGGCGAGGCCTTGGCTCCTGGCAGCTTTCCCAAGTCCTGGACCTCACCGTGTCCTGCACTTCCACAGCAATGCCCCGTTGTCTCATAGCTCGAAGCACCTCGGGCTGCAGCCGTTCCATCCGGTCTCCTGTGCCCACCACAACAATCTCTAGGGAGGGATAGGCATAGCTAGTCTACAACCTGGTCTGTTTAGAGCCTGGGGTAGGGGTGGCCTTCTGGGGATCAGGACACCTCAGCCCTGCCCTCTCCTCATACCTATCCGGGGCTCCAGCATCCAGAAGAGGGAGAGGCTCTCTTCAGTGATGTCCCGGTGGGATCCCACCTGTGTGGAGAGGAGGCAGGTTCAAAAGGAAAACCAAACCGCCGCAGCTTCCCCCAGACCCTTCTCCTACACCACTCCGGGAAAGCAAAGAAACGCCAAGTTTGCCAGAACAGAAGCTGGAGCCGGCTTGAGATTTGGGACTCGGGTTCCCGTAGGGGCAGGACTCACGTTCCATTGCACCACGGAGTGTGGGAGCAGCGCGCAGGGCCCGAACACGCGGTCTCCGTTAACTGTGAAGCCGCAGCTGTTGTAGCTGTCGATGTACATGGCGTGCGGTGACTCGCGTTGCAGCAGTGAGATGCGCGTCCGCTGGTACAGCTCGTCGTCCGCTGGCGTGAGCCGATACCCACGCCGTGGGGCCCTGCAGGAAAGGTACGGTCAGGGGAGCAATGCCCAGGATCACCGAAAGTGAGAAAAAACAAGGCGTGGGGCCGGGGTCGCCAGTCATTGGGGGCTGGAAGGAACGGGACCCGGAAGGGACGGGGCCCGGGGTCGGTGGTCATTGGGGGCGGAAGGCGCGGGATGCGGGTGCCGGTCTTCGGGGACGTGAAGGAACGGGGCGCAGGGTCTGGGCTCACCAGAGCAGCTCGGCGGGAGGGCAGCGCAGCGCAGGACGCGCCCGGTACAAGCTCCGAAGGGCAAAGGCGGCAGCCATGACGAATCAGCGCGTAGCCAGGCCGGCGTAGTGTTGGCGAGGTTGTGACGGAGCCCAGCCCAACGCGGATACAGCGCCCCCTGCGGCCTGGAAGGCACAGCGCAGCTTGGCCGGCGCAGCCCGGGAAGACGGAGCGGGCCAGTGCCATCTGTCCCAGGAGGGCGTGTCTCTCAGCGCAGCTCTGGTGTCAGCACCCACCGCCTGCCCCGCCCTGGGCCCCCGCCGGCAGTCCCGGGAGAGCGGGGCACCTGGCGGCGTGGCTGGCCTCAGGGCACAGATTGGGTACCAGCCGCGGCCTGCTGCCTCTGCTCTCAACCATTACGAAGGGCTCCGGGGGCCCCCGAAAGGGCGGCCGCGCACCTGGTCGTGGCCCGCACACCTGGTCAGGGGGTGGAGCCAGCCCTCCAGCCCCTAATTCCCAGCTTTGAGGCGTCGGGTTCCAGGGGCGAGGCTGGCGACTCACGTTTCCTCGCCTAGCCACCGAATAACGCCCCTTCCCAACCGTCATCCGCGCGACCGTTGACGGCGCCGCCGCGCGCCGCGGGGGGCGTGGCCGCGCGTGGATTGGCTTCACGGGAGCGCGAGGGGGTGTGGCCGGTGGCTTCACCTTAAAATGGCTGCAAGACTGCGTCCAGAGCAAGCGGAAGGGGATGCCGCGGAAGGGGACGCTGTGGAAGGAGACGCCGCGGAAGGGGTAGTGATGGCTTTCGATTGGGAGCAATCGGGCCCGACCGGACCAGACGTTGAACTAAACAGCGGCTGGAGCGTCGCCCTGGCCTCGCCCGCTCTGCTTGCGTCCCGAGAGTTCCCGCCCCCATCTTTAGCCGAATCTGAAGGCCTGCTGGCGCGAGAGGCGCTGGCGGCTGCGCGGGGTTCGCGCATCTTCGCGCGTCCGTCCGTCGGTGGCCTCGGGGGAACGTGGTCGCGTCTCCTGCTAGCGTGGGCGGGCGGGCGGCTTGGCATAGCGGGGCCTTGCTGTTGGTCGGCCGCGGCCGGTCCACAATGGGCTTCTGAAGGGCCCGCCGCCACCAGGCGGGCCCGTTCGGCCCCTGGCGTTGTGGGCGCTGGCAGCGTCATCGGACAAAGGCCTGGGCGCGGGGGTGCCCCGAGGCGGGCTCGCGGGTTCACTTCCTCCTCGGCCCGGAGGGTGCGCTTCCCTCTTGGCGGGTCTTGAAGCCCGCCCCACCACCGCCCCTGTGGCCCTGGCTGCGTGGGACCATCAGGACTAATTCTGTCCGGCGGATCTCATCCGGATCGGGACCTGGTCCTGGGGGAGGCCCCCACCTCCCCTCCTATTTGTTCTGGGGCCCAGGTGAGCGCCTCGTTCCCACTAGACTCTGTTTCACCGGCTACTACCGGGTCCGCCCCCTGGGATTAGGAAAAGGGGATTCTGGTCTGGCACGAGGGCGAGAGACCTGGGGGCAGGAGCCCCCTCCCCCCACGGCGGGACCGCGGGCAACGGAATCCCAAAAGCAGCTGTTGTCTCCAGAGCATTCCAGCTGCGCTTGGATTTCGTTCCCTGCTCTCCTGCCTGAGCAACGTCCGGGCCCGCAGACACTTTGCCGGGCCGCTCTGGTCTTCTCCCCACAAGTGCGCCCTCAGGCTGATGGTGGCAGGTATAGACGCGGGAGACCTGGGGCTGGTGGTCATCTGTGGAACCCCGGAGAGCATTGGCGGGGGGAGGGCAGGCCCAGGGCAATGGCGGTGAGTCCCACAGGGCCGTCGCAGCTCGCTAAAGATAGCGCTTCACTTCCTGGGGAAAAACCACCCCAACCGTCTTCATGGGCCTAAAGAGGCTGAAGTCCCCAGCTCGCCTCAGGCCCTTAACCCTGCTAGCAGCTGCCCCCGGGTCGGGAGCCTGCGGCATGGAAAGCGCTTTGGAATGACACGATCACTCCCGTTGAGTGGGCACCCAAGAAGCCATCGGGAATGTCGTGTCCGCCCAGTGCTCTTTTGGCGCCTCCCAGCAGGGCTTCGCAGCCCTGGCCCAGAAAGGGGCTTTGCCAAGCTCTTCCTGCCCCTGGGGTCCCCTCCTCTCTAAGCTCTGGGCACAACGACCGCTCCAGGGCAGAGATCGTGGGGTTTCCCAGCGCTCTATGCTGAGTGGGGCTCCATCTCTATTAAAAAAGAAAACCAGGGGAGTTAGTCGAAATGGAAGCATTTGGGAGCCTTCCTGCTGGTAGAGAAGAGGGATGCTTCCAGTTGAGGGCTATCCTTGAGCCTTCTCCTAAGTCATATTGTTGCCCGCATAATGGCTCGTTGCCTAAAACAGGAAGCAGGAGGATTACTATTTAAAGTACACCAGTTTTAAGGAGAAGCATTAAAAGCTGGTAATTCTGGAAACGTCCATAACGATGGTCCAAGCTGCCTACATTTCAAGAAGAGAAAATCGGGAATTCTATCAGTGTGCGCATTTATCGGGAATAAAGATGATTCATATCTCAACAAAGAAATGCTTGCAAATAACCTGAAACACTTTTTTTCTTTAATGAGGTGTTTTTTTTTGTAGCTTATGAAAGTGGCTTTACTGTTAGATGCCTTTTGCCAGTGACAACCCATTTGGAACGTTTGACGTTTTAACACGTGTAAAATGGGGAAAATGAAACATTATCACACAAATACCGAGATGTGAGACTTCGATGAAGAGAAAAGGGATCCAGGTTGAGCCCCTACTGCTTGGGTCGCGAGGATCCTTTTCCTAATTGCTAATGTGAGGCCACAGTGAAGGCGCCTTGGGCCCACAGAAGACTCAGAAGGGAAGGTGGGCCGGAAGCGCCCGGCACAGCGCACTCGGGCGCACCTGTCCCCTCTGGGACTGCGCCGGGCCAATCGCCCCTCCCGGAAGTTCGGCCTCTTGACACTTTGCTTCCGGTTCCGCTTGCTCCTTTCCGGTCGCCATGGCGACGGGGCGCCTTGGCCTCGGGGAGACATTGGGGGCCCTTAATGCTGCCTTGGGACAAGGCGGCCCCGTGTGGTTCAAGGAGACGCGCGCCCGCCACCTGCGCGCCCGAGACTTCCTGGCGCCAAGGCGCGCGCTGCAGGCGCGCTTCGGAGACCAGCAGGTGAGCACAAGTCGGGCGGGGGCTCATGGCCGCATGTAGTAGAGGCGCCGGGGCCCGCTCACCCGCCCGTTCACCTGCAGGTGCCAGAGCCTGTGGTCACTGCAGTTGCCGGCCTGCAGGGCCCCGGCGTGGCCCCGGTGCTGCGCTGCGCGCCCACCCCTGCCGGCCTGGCGCTCCAGCTGCGGCGGCCTGCTGTCTTCGAGCGCGTCCTCAGCTCGGTGGCCGCCTACGCCGCGCCTGCCGCGCCTGCCGCGCCTGGTCCTCGCGTCGTCCTGCATTGCGCCGCGCTGCGCGGTGCCCCCTGCACCCTCCGCCTGAGCCAGCTGCGTGCCATTCTTGTAGCCGATCATCTGGCGCGAGCCCTGCGCGCTCGCGGGTGAGCCGGGGCGTGGGGCCCAAACGGAGAAGACAGGACCTCTCGGGGCCTAGAGCGGCGCCGCCCTCGGGGATGGACGCTGGGAGTGGGAAAAAGAAGGAAGAGCTGGGCTGCGTGCGCCGGCTGAGGCGGCCTCCCTCGCTTCACAGGGTGACTGTGCGCCTGGTGCCCGCGGCGCGGGACCCGCACATGAGGACCTTCTTGCAGCAACTGCGAGTGGAATGGCCCGCTGCCTCGGAGAGAGCCGCGACCGAAGCCCTGAGGAGCCGCGCTCTTGCTGAGCATACTTCTGCCCACGATGGGGAGGTCCTGCCCCCTGGCATCCTGGGCAGAGTGTGCCTTAAAGAGCTGGTGGAAAAGCAGGGGCGCTTAGCTGGCTATGACCCCAACCTAGACAGCTGTCTCGGTAGGACCTGGAGCCTAGCAGGGCCAGGAAGAAGGTGGGGACCCCTGCACTCTCCACCAGCCTCAACCTCTGTTTTTGCAGTGACTGAGGATCTTCTCTCCTTGCTGGCCGAGCTGCAGGAGGCTGTGCAGAATTGGCCTGAGGACAGCTCCCCAGGCGTGGTTAGCAACTCTTATGCCCTGTAGCCCTCTCGCAAGCCAGGTGTTCTGTGTCCCCAAAGTGACTGTCCTCCTTCCGTGTAGGCTGGGACCCCAGACCCTGGTACAGACAGCTGCATTGTTGTCCATGTGGTAAGCTGCGAGGAAGAGTTCCAGCAACAGAAGTTAGACCTGCTTTGGTGCAAGTTGGATGACCAGGCTCCCCTCAGACAGGTAGGTCAGTAATGGTGGAGCTTACTATTCAGGTTCAAAAAGCCCTTGAAAGCTCATCAAGGAGCCTGAGAGCCAGGGGCTCCAGAGGCGGTGAGGTCTGGAGGTACCTCCCTGAGAAACTTGAAAAAATAGGTTGAGAAGTCTGGACTGTGTACCTGAGTGGCTGGGCTTGAGAGAGATTTGATTGGAGGCACTAAGCCTGGTGGTGACAGGCTGGGGAGGTTGTGGTGAAGTAGGAGCACCAGATTTGGGTCTCTTGAGGGATTTATTGCTAGAGGGTAGTGCCAGCTGGGCTGAGCCCATCTTCTTCCTGACAGAAGCACCTGGTCTGTGGCCCAGTGAAAGTAGCTGGTGGACCTGGTACCCTGACCGTCCCAGAGTACTACGAGTGAGTGAGGCTGGAAGGAAAGCTACCCTCAGCTGGGGTAGTTGAGGTGGGGAAGGCGGGTCTTCACTGGGACCCTGCCCACTGGCCCTCCTCTTTTCAAAATACAGGCTCCGGCTTGCCCAGGTATGCAAGGCCTCAGCACTCAAGCATGGCGGGGATCTGGCACAAGGTGCGCCTGGGAGATTGGCTGTGCCCTGGGGTAGGAACAAGTCATTTGTACCTTGCCCCTTGTTCCCTGCCTGCAGACTGACTGACTAAGCTCTGCTCCCTCAGACCCAGCCTGGACAGAGATCTTTGGGATTCTCTCTGTGGCTACCATCAAATTTGAGATGCTCAGCACAGCCCCCCAGAGTCAGGTGAGCCTGGGTGCCCCACAGGGCCAGGGCTGGAAGGATAGGGTGTGGTGGCTGCCCTCCCTCTCTGCAGCTGTGCATCTGTCCTCCAGCTGCTCCTGACCCTGGCCGACAGCAGCGTTTCCACAAAGGGCACCAAAAGTGGCACCTTTGTCATGTATAATTGTGCCCGCCTTGCCACACTCTTTGAGAGTTACAACCACAGCATGGAACAAGGTCTGTACCCCACCTTTCCACGCGTGAGCAGCCTGGACTTCTCACTGCTACAAGACGAGGTGAGTGCCCCACCTGGGCAGTTGGCACAAGCTGGGGGCTTGGCCTTTCCCTCCCAGCACCCTTCTCTCCCACAGGGTGAGTGGCTGTTGCTCTTCAATAGCATCCTCCCCTTCCCGGACATGCTGAGCCAGACGGCAGCCCTGGCCTACACTGCCCCGGGGCTCCACATCACTGCACACACGGAGATGGTGAGATGGAGACCGGGAGAGACACTACACACGCTATTCTTTATTCTGGGTTGGGACACAAGAGCACTGAGGGACAGTGACTTGATCTCTGTCGCCAGGTTTGCAAGTTCCTGGTGCAGCTCAGCATGGATTTCAGCTCGTACTACAACCGTGTACACGTCTTAGGGGTAAGCACACAGCAAGAGGGGGTGCATGGGAGACACAGGAGGGCTACAGGGTGAAGGCAGGGGAAGCAGAGGATGAGAGCAGCAGGCCTCTTCTCCTCCAGGAGCCCCGACCACACCTCTTTGGTCAGATGTTTGCACGCCTGCAGCTTCTGCGGGCCGTGCGTGAAGTGCTGCACGCTGGCCTGGCCATGCTGGGCCTCCCTCCATTGAACCATATCTGAAGCAACAAGGCCCTAATGTCTGGGAATGTTCACAAAGTCATCAACTGGGGGATGGAGTGGTGGTGGAAAAAAAAGGCCCACAGATTTTTGCTAGGGGCCTGGAGCCAAAATAAATTGCTCTGTTGTAAAGCTGTGTCCTACTGTGAGGAACAGGGGTGGGTGCGTCCTTGGTCTTCCGGGCAGCAATCTCCTCACCCCAGCTCCTACTCTGAGGTCAGCTGCCTCTGCCTTCTCTCAAGGCACGCCGGGTACAGGCACACTCACTCACTGTTCCACCGTCTGCAGCCAGGCCCTGTGCCCAGCACACCAGCTGCTGCAAGACACCTCAGTCATACCAGTTGTAAACTTCAAGGCCCTGGCCCCCAAGAGCACAGCGGTGGCCAAACTCAGGGCTCACAGGCCAGCAGTCCATGTCTGCCACATCTGGCACGTGGTACACAGCACTGTTCATGAAGGTGGGCTCACCATGCCCCAAACGCCAGAAGGTCAGCCGCTGGTCGATGGAGGCTGAGACCATGAGGTTTGGGCTCAGGATCTTGAGGCCTGTCACGTGAGCAGCATGTGCACAAGGGACAGAGTATTCCTCTAGTACACGCAGCTGGGGTCTCAGCTCAGCCTCCCCTGCAGCCTCTTCCAGCTCTGGCACCTCCATAGCAAGCACGAAGACGTGGAGAGAGCCATCCTCACTGCCACTGGCCACAAGATGGCGGCCCTCACATGTGGGCAAGGTGTGCAGGCTGTTGATACCGCAGCTGTGGGCCTGGAGGGTGAGGCAGGGGGTGCCCAGCTCTGGGGGAAAAAGATGCTTGTCATGACTCGCCTGCTACATGCGTGAGGGTAAAGGGGTGGGGTGGGGAAGTCAGCCCAGTGCACTAGCTACTCACGGTAGGGAAGCCCAGGCTCTGCTGGTGGCTCTAGGGCAGTGGAGCCATGGTCTAGCACAGTGGTGAGGTCCCAGAAGGCCAGGCTGCCATCGGTGGCTGCACTGCATAGAAGCAGCTTCCTGGGAGCCAGGAAAGAGCAGCCAGGTCAATGGAGGGGATTGAGGGCAACAGGAGCTCCCACCCAACCCAGCCTCTCTCACCGCCGCCGGTTGGATGCCTCGTGTGTAAAGGAGTGAACCTTGAGGACACACCGCTTGTGATGGAAGGTTTCAGCAAGAAGCTGAAGCCGCCGCCCCGAGTCCTGCAAGAGAAAGAGCCTGGGGAGGCAGGGGGTGGCCCAACTCAGAACTCATTCGGGACAACCTCACATCCTTTTTCCCTCAGCTCCCTGGACCCTATGCTCTCACCTCACCGCCCCGTCACTACAGGCTGCAGCCACGAGGGGGCCAGGGCCAGGCCGGTCAGGCTCACACACAGCGAGGGACATGTACCTGCAGCCAATAGCACACAGCCGTCAGGTAGGGCATTTGAGCCTAGGGGCAGCTGCACAGGGCTTGCCCTGCATGACCCCTCCCCATGCCCCTGCACGCCACCTGGTCTCTGGGTCCACCTTGACCAGCTGGTGCCGATTGCGCTGCCGGTCCCAGTACTCATCTAGCCGATGGGATGAAAGGTGCATGATGTGGCACGCAAGGCGGCTTGGAGTGCTAGGGTCTGGCGTGACCATGATGCTGAAGCACTGCATCTCAGCCCGGCCCCCAGCAGACACCACATGGGCAGTCAGGCCTGGCCGAGGATCTTGAGGGCCACCTGGGGTGCCAGTGCCCCAGACAGCCACAGCACGCACCGAGGAGATATGGTTGCAGACAGCTGTGAGTGCATGGGCTGCGCCCGTGGCCGTGGGGAGTGCCAGGACACAGACGGTAGTGTCTTCACTGCCTGTGATCACGATGTCAATCAGGCCAGGCCCCTTGCTGCCAGGCTCCAAGTGGTCAGGCTGCCCAAGGTTGGGCACCTCAAATTCAGGCCCCAGAGTGATGGTGCCCACACGTTTTACACAGGTGATCTCGCGGCCATGCAGACCCTCCCGGAGAATCACGTGTGGCCGGGTACAGCCACCCAGGGCCCGGTACAGCATGACATCCCCATCCTTGAGGTAGGCAAAGGCCACAGCAGCCTCGGTATCTGAGAAGGCCCAGGAGCGGTGCCCTCCACCACAGTTGACAATGTGCAGCTTCTCGTGTGACCGGGGGCTCCATACCACAAACTCGTTGGCATGGAAACCCAGGATGACCACGCTCCCATCAGCCACCATGCGGAGCCCAGCCAGCCAATTCATGCCTCGGCAGGACTTCTGCCGTAGGACTGGCTGGAGCTGTCCGCCTCGCACAAAGAGCTGGCAGTAGGCGCCGTCGCGCCCTGTGGTATACACGTAACCACCATGACAGGTGACCGAGGTCACGCCCTGCTTCCCATGAAGGGAAGGGAGTATGGACACAGGGCCCCACTCAGCTGAGGTGCTCCCTTCCCCACCACTGCCACCACTCACGCCAAGTACCCCAGCCCCAGCCTTGCCTCCAACCCCAGGGGCCTTGAGCAGACCTGGTCTGGAAGGAAACAGCAGCACAGAACCCCGGCGGTCCCCGCACACCAGGAAGTCGCCTGGCGGCAGGAAGGCACTGCACGTGTGCCACCTCTGCTTACTTGGGGGCAGCAGATAGCGGCAACGTTCCTTGACAAAGATGGCCTTGCCAGAGGGTGCAGCTGAGATCTCCAGACAAGCCACCACCCCACTAGGGCCCGATGCCAGCAACAGGAGCTCCTCATAGCCACGTAGGGCCCAGCTCAGGCTGTGCACCTTCCCCTGGAAGAGGGTCAGGTCCACAGCAGCAGTTGGAGTGTTGATGGGGACAACCTTGACACGACCTTCCCCATTGGCCATGGCACACAGCCCAAAGCCCTCAGGACCAGGGGCTGCTTCTAGCAGGCAGTAGGACTGGAAATGCTTGTCCTCCAGCAGCTGTTCCCAGCACTTGACCTCGAGGTCATAAAGGTACAGGGCCCCTGTGTCAGTCACCGCCAATACTCGCCAAGAGCCAGCCAGTGTTACAGCCTTGAGGGTGCCTGCCCTGCTATGGGACTTGAAACAGAGGGCTGAAACCCCCGAGCCTGGGTACCCACGGCCCACCAGGTGCCACAGCCGGATGCCTGAGTCATCACCCCCAGTGATGACCCAGGCCTGCTGCTCGTGGGCAGCTATGGCCCGGATCCCACGGCCCTGGTGGCCCCGAAAGGCCTGGAGGATCTCACCTTCATGGCTCCAAACCAAGCAAACACAGTCTTCTCCTGCGCTGATAAGGTAATTCTCCAGGAGCTTGACCTGCCACACACGGGCACTGTGCCCGAAACAGTGCCCAATATTTTGCACTCGACCCCCAGGCACCCGGAGGTCGCCCACCTTCCAGATGCGGACACTACGGTCTTCTGAAGCCGTGGCCAGCAAGCCCTTGCTTTCCAGGTATGACATGCTGAAGATGACACCCACATGCCCACTGACCCGCCGGTCGGGTGCCACAGGCTCGTTTTCTAAAGTGGCTGCTGGGTACCAGACCAGGAGCTCATTGGAAATGGCACCTGCCACCATGGTCAGCTCCCTCCAGGTGTTTCCAATCAGGCGGGCTGAGGAGAGGGTGCACCTGTCTGTGCAGTGCACCTCCTGCAGGGTGCGTCCTACCATGGGGTCGTAGAGCACCACTGAGTTGTGGCCCAGAGCCACGGCCACATTCTCCTCTAGCCAGCGTGTATCCCAGATCCAGTCGGACATGCTCCACAGGCCAGAGCGCCAGACCTCCCGGAAGCGGCCCTGCCCCCAGCTAACTTTCACAACTCGGAGTCCCTTGCTCCCAAACACAGCCACCATGGCCTGCGACTCCAAGTCTCCATCGGGCTCTGAACGCACCCGGAACCCATGGATAAGATAGTGGCCAAGCAGGTTCTGTACTCGCTTCATCATCCGCAGATGCCCACCAAAGTCCAAGCTGTACACCAGGACGTCCGGCCCCTCACCTAGACGGAAGCAAAGAACCACATCAGAACCTCCCACCTAATGCTGCCGACCTATGGGGAAGGGACCCCTCAACATGTAACCTGTGAATACGTTAGGACATGTGATCCCACAGGCATGAACCTCGGGAAATCCTTGGCCTCAGTTTCAGCTAGATTTTCAGTGCTGGCTTTCTGCTCCCTTTGTCAGCCACTCCAGTTCCATTCAACCATGAATTCCTTCAACTCTTAGCCTCCTCTTGATCCAGCTCACTCTCACACTTCAGACTGGAACCCCCCCAGGTTTAGTCCCCAGTCCTTGGCCCCATCTACCTCCCCATGCATTGTCCCTCCTCTCTCCTCCACGGGGAGGTTGTCCAGCTAAGGCAACCTTTCCACCCTCAGGTCAACAGCCACATTCCTCCTGATTTTCAGGAGCCTTTCCCGTATGTCTGAGAAGGAGTGAGCATGTTCAATACCAATGGGAAGAACAAGGAGAGGCAGCCCACACTCTGGTCTCGGCAGAGGCTTGGGCTTGAGTCCTGGCCCTGCCATTGGCCCGCTGTGTGAGCCCCCCTTCTGGGTATGGTGGCCTCAGCTCAGAGAGCCCCAGAGCAGCAGCAACACAAAGGGCTGTCAGGAGAAGCAGACGAAATAAAGACATTCAGGGCTTAGACTGAGTCTGGCACATGGCAGAAACACAACAAATACAGGCTACTGAAACATCATTTATCGCTTCATGATATGCACGCTCCTTGCTTTCCTCCTCACTCTTTCCTGGGCCCATCTGCTCCAAGGACTAGTGTTGCCAGAGGCTTGTCTGGCACCTCCCTCCACACTTTACTCGTGTGCAGGCTTTCTGGACAGCCTCATCCTCAACCCAAATATCTCCAAAACCGAACATCCAGCTGCCTCCTGGCCATCCAGCAGGCACCTCCTGCTTCACTGACATCCTCCCCAAATTCTCTAGGTGCTCCTCATCCCACTGACCATCACACCCTCTGGCCATCCTCCAGTCAAAAACCTGAAAGCCCCCTGCTTACTCCTCTCTCAACCTCCCACTTCTTATCTGTCTCCAAGTCCTGTGGATTTTACTTTCTAAAGAGTTCACAAACCCTGCCCACCATGGCAAGCTTAGTGCTTTTATCTGAGAGACAGCAACAGCCCCTCACACCACTGCTGACCTGCAATCTCAATCTTTCGACAGTCAACGCACATTTACTGAGCATGAATGATAAACCAGACACTAAACCAGATGCGGGCAGTGAACAAGCACAGACCCTGCTCTTCTGGATTCGGCAGACACTAAACAGTAAAATCACACAACTACATCATTACAATTCTGGCAAATTCCAGGAAGGAACCCTACAAGTTGCTGTAAAAATGTAAAATGGGAAGGTCTAAAACAGTGGTTCTCATACAGGGTGACTGTGCCCCTCAGGAGACACAGGTGTGAAGCCCTAAGGCGGGCAAGAGCTTTGGGTAGTGTGGCTGGGACAAGAAATGAAGGATTTAAGAATGGGCCAGAGAAAATATTATTGAGGGGATAAGAAAGACATAGTAGCCTGGCCTCGAATGATGCCAACAAAGGCAGAGAAACAGACAAGCACATGAAGTCAAAATCAACTAGACTTGGTACCTAACTGGCTTGGGGGAGTCAGGTAGATTCTCAGGCTTGGGCATGAGTGACTGGTGGTTTCCCTGCTGAGCTGAGCCATCAAGCAGAAGGACCACTGAGAGTGGAGGGAGTATTTCAATTGGTAGGCACCTATGCACGGGACTCTGGAGAGAATAGGGCTGGGGATTCAGATTACAGGTGCACATGGAATTAAAAATTGTAGCTATATGAGTCACTTCGAAAGTCACGGGAATGGGTGAATTCACTTGATGGAGAGCCTTCTAACACATTTCACACCAAGTCATTCTCTTGCTTAGAACCCTTCAACGGGGCCTCCTCACCACCCTTAGGGATAAAGTCAGATCAAGACCTAAGACAATCACCTCACTTCTCCAGCCTCCTCTCCTCCCAGACCTTAACCCTGCTCCAGCCTCACAGGAATTCCCTCCTTCCTAAAAAGTAACAAATTCTCCTGGCCTCACTGCCTTTGGCATGCTCAACTTCTGCCCAGAACTCACCCCTCCCCTACTCCTAATTCATTCTCTGGTTCTTCGGGTTTCTACTTTGCTGTCCCCAACTCCGGGAGCCTTGGGAGTTTAGCTCTTGGTAGGCTCCCAGATCCCCCAACCAAGATCAAAACTGGGCACTCGCCCCCCACCCCGCCCCCCTCCCCAACTACCTCGCCTGCCTAAGACTGGGAGCAGCTCACTCAAGGCCCTTTTAAAACAAAGAAGCACCTCATCGCCATTGTCAGTCAGGAGTAGCTTCATGTCAGCCTCACCGTTCCCCAGGGCTCTGCCGCCTCAGGTCCCAGGCCTTTGCGCCAGACACTGAGGCCTGTGCTTCCCCATCTGGCCCTCCTCGGAGGAGAATCGACGCTGGATTGCCCGGACCTCAACCACATCAGGAGGGGCCTCATCCCCCGCTTTCCAGGGCACTGCCCTCCTTGGAAAGATGTCATCCTCAATTTCCCGCGACCTCAGAGGAATTTCATTCCCACCTTCCCTGGAGAGGCCACACCCCCGCCCGCTCCGGACCCCGCCCCCCAGCCATACCCGGCCCCGCCCCCCAGGGGGCTCATCACCCGACCTCCCGCTCCGCCTCCTCAGGAGAGGCCACACACCCCCACCTCCTCCAAGAAGCTACGCACCAATCCCCCGACACGACCGCGTTATCCGGCACCTTCCCGCGGCCCCGCCTGCCTTGTCCATGTCGGCTACAGTTTATGATGGGCTGCAGTAGCCACATCAGTATTTGTCTCCCAGGCCCGTCCTCGTTCCCGTCGTCTCCTGAGGTCCCTTCCCACCTCCGATCGGACCTCGTCCCGCAGCCCGCCCTCCTCCTCGGGGCATCCCTTTGTTCCTCGTGGCCCCGCCCCAGGCTGCCGCTCGGTTTCTTCGCTCGCTGACGCGCGCCTCAAACCAAACCTCACCCGCCAACAGACGGTCCCCCACGCACTCCAGACCCGTGACCGGGAGGAGTATGAGCTCCGAGGTGGCCCGCGGCCACACGTAGTCCTCATGAGCGTCCATGACGGGCCTCGAACTGCGGGGGCTGCCACCACCAAGAAAGAAGCTGCGCTCTCGCGAGAACGACCCTTCCCCACGCGCCGCGCCGCCGATCGACTGCGCCTTTGGCTACAGGTAGCAGAGCCTAGGGACGCCCCGGCGCAGCTGATGTCCAATGACGACCCTCCGCCCCACGCGATCCCGCTCATGATTGGCGCAGCCCGCGGAGGGGCAGCCCTTGCTCCTCCCCTCACGTGACGTTGGCAGCGTACTTCGGGGACTGGCCGGCGCCGCCTGGCCTGGTCTCCCTCCCGCCCGCCTGGAGCTTGTTAGGCCTGCGGCACGAAGCCGTGTGATTTTATTTGACATTATCAGGGCAGCATGGGTCTGTACACAATAAATAACATGAGTATAGGAAATGCACTCCAGTCGCAGCTGGAGGCGGGGGTGGGGCAAGACATCGGCCATGCCTTTGGTCTGCAGCAGGGCAGGAGGAACGGCAGAGCCTCGACCTCAGTTGGCGGCCACCTGGAGGGGGAAGGGCCGGAGCCGACCCTCCCTCAGAGCTCCACGCGGGCGTCGCGGTAGGCCCGGTCTAGAGCCCACTCGGGCTGCGACTCGGCGCCACCTCCACGGGCTAGGCGTGCCATCTCCTGCTGGAAGAGTGCCTGCCGCGCCCGGCTAGGGTCTACGTTGATCCAGTTGTTGGCAATCCACTTGGTGCCGCGCGTGACCAGGCAGCCTCCGTGCAGCGAGTAGTCGTCCACGTCACCCACCCAGCCTGACAGTGGAAAGTGTTGTGAGCAAGGGAAACGCTGGGAGAGACCCTAGGCTGGGCTGGTCTAAGCTCAGCCTCTTCTGGTCCAAGGGCTCAGTGGGCCCAGCTGTGCACACCTCAGGTAGCAAACAGCGGTCCCCAAGGCCTCCTTGGGAGCTCAGCATCTCAACCACCTAGTGCTTTGTGCACACCACTGGCCCTCAAGACCAGCTTTCCTACTGCCAGGCATGTCCACAGCCCTTCCCAGGCTGGGCTGGCAAGGGACATGCGCCCACACATCCCCAGAGAGCAGGAAGGTTGGGGCATCAGGGCAGGATAGGTCAAAATGACCCAAGAGTCTACATGGTGCTGAGGCAGCCTGCTGAGGTCAGATAGGATGATCTTTGAAGGGGCACCAGGGATAGAATACTATTTGGGGGTGGCCAGAAACAGCCCTACAGGGGGCTGGGTAAGGGGGAGCTTTCCCTGGGTACCCCAGTCTGACCACAAGCACTCACCTTGCCCGTCAGGCAGGTAGTTGTACCAAAAGACTGCTGTGCCCTGCCGGGGCTTAACACGCAGATTCCCCTTGTCACAGTGCCTCCGAGTGTCACGGAGGTCAACGTCTTGCTGAATCAGACTCTGTGGGCAGCAAGGTGCTGGGGTTTGCAGGTTGCCCCCACTGCATGGCCAGGCAGCCAAAGGTGGCCAGAGGCAAAACACCCACATGTGCCAGGGCATGCTTGCGCCTTCCTCCCAGGCGTGGTGGGGTGTGTACTTGGTGAGCCCAGGCCAGGCCAGCCCACAGGTAACAGCCCAGCTGACCCCTTACCATTTCATCATAGGTCCTGTTGTCTGCTACTGGGAAGACTGTCTCACCCCCGCCAGTGACGTTGTTCAAATAAAACAGCACCGTCATGTAGCTGTAAGGCAGGGGGGCTGCTGAGCAGGTCTCCAGCTGTATGACACTCCCAGGGGCTCACCTGTGGGCAGGACAGGCTGCCCGGGTTCCCAGGGGCCAGAGGGGCAGGCCAGTGCCAAGATGCCCCTAGTCCCTTCCTCCCACAAGAAGCCCAATTATTCTGTGTGTCACAATGTTTTTTGTGGCCAAGATCATAGGTGCACTTAGCTAAACTATGTGGCCCTGACTAAAGGCCCAACTAGGAAAGGTAGGCTGGCAGAAGCAGCTAGGTCGTCCAGAAGGGCTGGTCAGGCACTGCAAGGGCCTGAGCCACAGCAGCCACATGGAAAGGAAAGACCTGCCTCTGTACCTTGGCAAGGAAGGGGGACATGGGGGAGAGAAGCTGAGGCCTCCAGCAGTGGAGGCAGGATCAACCCCTGGGAGGGTGGAAAGAATTGGGGGCCCAGCCTTGCCTCTAGCTTAAGACCTCTGGGGGAAAGTTTGAGTGTCTGTGGGTACCTCAATCACTGTTGACTAGAGTGGGCAAGATGGCCAGCAGCCACCCCTATCCTGCCACTTGGTAAACAACTTGAAGGGAAAGCCAAGAGCTTCATCAACCAGAATGGCCTCAATGCTCTTCTGGCCCCATGCAGAGGGGCATGCCCACAGGACAGGACTGTGCCTGTGTCACAGAGGTGCCCGGTCTGGGAGTTGGAGGCAGTCCCCAGGTAAGAAGCAGCCCCCAGGTAGGAGGTACTTGCCGGCAGGAGGTCTCGAAGGGTACGGACTCATTGGCTACCAACTTGGTGTGAGAGCAGATGGTCTCCGGGTACACGGGCCCACTGTCCACGTGGGCGTGGTAGTGGCCTCCCTCTCCATACCGCACAACCTGCAGTGGCTCGCTGAGCTCCACGATCTCAGGTGACAGGCGGGTGAGACGCAGCACCCTGGTGGGCAGCGGGCAGTCCGCTGGGCACCCTGAAGGAGCCAGCCAAGATGGACCCCGGGCCTGCCCCAATCTCTGCCCCTGCCCACCTTCCCTGGAAGCCCCTTGAACCACTCCAGACTGGCCCTATAGGAGCATGAAGGGATCACTTGTGATGAGCCCTTCTCCCTGGATGTTAGATGCCCACTGGGTGGAAAAGATGAGATTCCACTAAGTTTGGGGGCTCAGACTCAAGCTTGCTGACCCCACCCCATCCCCCCAGGAAGGAGGTTGTTTATCTAAAGCACCTAGCAGCTCAGGGGTAGGAGGTCCTGTGAGCAGAGAAAAGGGGTTATTTCTTCTAATTAACTGAAAACAAACACTCCATCTAGTTCTAATCCTAGCTGTGTATTGTTTGCCTAAAATTAGGGCTAATTTGTCTTTCTTAATTGCCTGTCTTTCAACAGGTCCCCATCCTGGTCTAACAAGTGGAGCTTAATCCTGAGGTGGCTAATCAATTTTGCCCTCTCAGTCCCAGTTAAGGGCTTCTGAGGGGCCCCAACACGACTTCTCCCCTACACCAGGCCAGAGGTGGGGGGAGGACAGCCTCAGGTGCTCACCTCTGGCGGATGGCACGCATGACATGGTGGGCACCCTCACCCTGGTAGAGCCACGTGTGGTGGCTGTTCCGCACTAGCTCACTGGTCTCCGCCTTGTGGGTCCTCATATACTTGTGGAAGTCCCGAAGGTCCATGTTGGAGAACTCTTGCAGACTCAGCACTCCTGCACAGAGGAGCTGCCATCAGTGCCTGCCAAGCCCATAAGGGGAGGCAGCAGCAGCAGGCTGCACCTCCCTACCTACCCAAAAGGCAGCAGCAGCCCCTGGCCTCAGGTACTGGGGGGCCATGTGCACCTGTACCCCACCTGGACTCTTGGGTCAGATGAACCTGGTTTCAGTCACGTCAGGCCCTAAGGGAAGACCCAAAGGAATTCATCATTTCTTCAGTTAACCCCTCTGATTTGGCCCTGAAAGGGAAGAAGCCCAGCCCCTGTTAGAGTGGCCAGAGCAAGGTCTCCAAAGGAAGCTTGAGCCATGTGGCCAGGGCCCAGGCTAAGGACCACCCAGCCTCTAACCTGGTTCTAAAGAGTGTAGTGGCCACTCTTCAGTCTCGTAGAGGGTAAGGAGAGAGACTAGGCAGCACTGGGTCTCCTCCAGGGCCTTTCACAATGGATGGTGCAAGCTGGGGCCGGTCCTCAGGGGATGCCTCATGACCTCAGGTCCCATCCTGGACAAAACACATCTAGCCACTCCTGCCTGCTGGGTTACTGGCCCACTTAGGCAAAGAAAGCCAAGCTGCTCCTCCAAATGAGAACCCTCTCCCCCGGTTCTTGCCCAACCCACAAAGCAGGGGCTTCACCTCTTGGGGCTCTAAAAGAGTAGCTGGTGCCTTTGCTCCATGTTATCCTGGCTGACTCAAAGGAGATACCTGCCCCTCCTTGACCCAGATTTTTCTGAGGGTAGGGGATGCTCAAGGGCTGTGAGCCTGTCACCAGCTCTGTACATTGGGGCAGTAGCAGTAGGACACCCCTCCATCCACAGGTCCAAGCCAGATTCTTCAATCTGGGTTCACCAGCCACAAAGCCATTCTTCCGAGTCCTGTTTCGCTGCTGTATCTTCCTCAGTTGGTACAGAACTTGAGCATGAGGGTGATGACCACACCTCAGAAACTTCCCAAAGCGGGAGAGGCTGCTCACATGACAGCTTCCCTCCCCACCCCCAGCCCCAGTAGTTAGCAACACCACCACTTCTGTGTTTCAGCATGGCTCCAGGTGGAAGAAGGAAGGGAGACCTCAGTTAGACCAGGGAGGCTGCCTGCAGGGGCAGACCTCACACCTAGGTGGAGAGGCAGATGGAGCAGGACTAGCAGCCAAGCTCGAGCCTGGACTTGCTGTCCCCTTGCTTCTGCTCCACTCACTCTGCTTCTGCCAACTGACAGCCCCACCTCCTGCACCCAAACTCTGTCTGATGAAGGTCAAAGGGTCTCCAAGAATTGCTCTCAGGTGTCACCAAGAAGAATGGGAGGGTCAGCTGCCTGACCTCTTCCGAGGGATGAAGGGCGAGGCTGGGCCCTCACCTCCACATCTCTAGCCACTTTAGAAGCTGGACAGAGAGGCTGTCTGGCTATCGGGGCAGCACCTAAGCTTTCAAGCTTTTCAAGCTCACAGGGACAGAACTGTGAAGTGTGAGCTCACCATCACCGTCAGGGTCGGCCTTGATCGCAGAGTACATCTCCTGAATGCTCTCTGGAGTCATCCACCGTCCATTCCCCAGGCGAGTCTGGGCCAGGACCTGCAGCACAAGAAGGTCCATCGGTGGGTTGGCCAGAGTCACCAGAGCACAGATGGCCCAGTTCTTGCTGCAGGGCTAAGGGTTCAGGTGAGAGGGCATGGGCAAGTACATAGGATAGAGCCTGAGGGTCCCTGAAAAGAAGTGAGGGTGGGCGGAGAGGTCCAGAGGCATCTGGGGAGGAAGCCAGAGGGTAGTCAAGAGGCCTGAGAGCCACGGGCACTTCCAGCCCTGCTGGTACTGTGGCCTCCATGGGAAGCACTGGTGGCTGGTTGGAGGCAGAGTGAAGGACAGACCTCTGTCCCACTCAGATACTCCAGGTGGGGTGGGGGAAGCCAAGCCCTGGGTGTGAAGAGGGAACAGGCACCAGAGGGAGGCCTGACTAGGGCATGGCCACCAGGCTCCTAGGAAAATCGGCTCAGGGGGTACTCTGTCTGGGCAATAAACCTCATGCCCTGCCAAACCTCTCTCAGAAGCCCAAGTTTGAGGGGCATGTATGGTGTCTGGATTGCTGGCCACTTCAGAGCTGCCATCCCATTCACCATGAGGTCTGTGGGGCCCCCAGCTATGGCAGCAAGGGATCTAGACCAGAGAACGCACACCACCTGAATACTGTGGCAATAAATGCCATCACCCCCAGGTGGATTCCCCTGACATCTTCAGGTTCACAGGGCAGCAAGGAGGTCTCCAGGGATAGAAGGGGGGACCCTAGACCTGGACATGCCCAAGCTAGCCTAGGGTGGCATCTGACTCTTGAGGCCAGGGCTGAGCTGGACAAGCAAACTTGTCAACAGAGAGGAAATTCTGGGCACTCCCACCCTGTGCCTACTCCAGGTCCCTGTATCCCAACCTCACGGAGCTGCAGGAGACCATCATGGTTCTGGTCCAGCAGCCGGAAGAGGTCCAGCTGGCTGACCTGCATCGTGCCCATTGCCTCCTCATACTCCTCAGTGGGCAGGATCTGGCTGCGCTGTAACCCCTTCATCTGTGCCAGGTGGATGGTGAGCCGACACTCCTCATCACTCAGGAAGTCAGGGACTTCTGCCGTAAGAGAAGGTGGGTGGTGAGGCCTAGGACTGAGCCAAGGCATTGATGCTCCTGGGACCTTCCCCCTGCAGGGCTCCTGGGGTCTGGAGCATTCCCTGTCCCCTAGTGGCACACTCCCTGGTATTGAACACCACATTACATCTGCTCTGGACTCTGGCACCAAGGCCAAATTGTCCTGCAAAGGTTGGCCAACTTTTGGAATGTGGGGGCCTTGGTCTTCCAGTCTGAGAACACACATTTTCCAGGGGAGTCCTGGAAGGCAAGCCAGAGTTAAGCTGAACCTGAGTTAAGTTCTTCTCACCTTGGGTTGGGGCCAAAGGCCAGAGAGTGGACCTCCACTTCTTACTGGGTATATATTTAAAAAGCAGGGTGATGGTAGCTGGTTCTTGCTTTCATTTTTGCTTTTCAGCACTGGTCAAATAAAAACAAGCAAGGCACAAGACATCCAAGTGCTCTAGGCCAGTCCAAGGGCCTTGCCCACCATTCTTCTGCACAAGTGGGCGTTGGTCATTTGACCAGGGCTGGGTTGTTGACTTTCCAGGCTGGGAGGTTGGTGGAGGGGTCACTCAGATTTTTGGCAGATGCTGGTCTGAGAAGATGCTCCAGGTGCCCTTTGCTTCCCTAATTCCTTCAGGCACAAAAGTACACTGAGCAACTGCTCCATGCCTTTAAGCCTCTGAGTATAGGTCGGGCCTGGGGTTTAGCCCTAGTTGCTGGATGCCCTCACACTGGTAGACAGTTTGGTGGAACTGGAACACCCATGTGCTGGCATTGCCAAAGCCTTCCAGGGCAGGAGCCCAGGCCCTGTTTCATTCCCTGCTGGGGAAGAGGACTTCCTTAGATGGGGGACAGAGGTCCACACAGGGACTGACTGAAAGGATGAAAGCTGCTGCCGTGTCCCCTCAGAACTCCTACAGGAGGGTCTGCCATTATCTCGCACTATACTCCCAGGGTAAAGTTCCAGTCCTTGCCAAGGGGAAGGAAAATGGCCACTCTGAGCCAGGAATCGAGCAGTTTTTAACTGTAATCAAAGCAGAGCATACTTAAGTAGCACAGACTCTTCCAGGCACTGTCCTAAGCACTTCATACATATCGATTCCTTAATTCTTACACTGGTTTTAGAACATCAGGCCCCATTAGTTTACCTTTCTTATCAATGAGGAATTCCAGGCACAGAGAGATCAGTGACTCGTCCAGGGCCACTTAACCTGTTGTACTCCAGAATCCATGCTCATGACCAGATTTCAACTTCCAGGGATAGGTGACCCAAATATGATAGCACTGTGGACAGGACAAAGGTCCCCACCCCTGGCCTGCATGACACCCACCCCCCAAACCCAGCAAACCCAGAAAGGGTGTGAGCCAGGCACTGGCAGGCAGCCTTGCTGGACAATGGGCTAGGTCAAAATGCTAATCAACAGTCAGCTCTTGATTTTGTTTTAAGTAAACGAAAAAAAGAAAAGAAAACACAAGCCCAGATTTCTTTGGTTTATTAGGTGCCTGTAATCCACAGGCCCAGCAGTCCCCTAGCCTATCTCACCCCTGCCGTGTGCTAATCAAATGCAAACAGCCCAGGCCAGCGTGCTGAGACCTGATCAGGTGGGTCCAAGCACTAGAGAGCTGGGCAAACACCAGCACGACCCCCATCTCTGCTGTGGAGACCTATAAAGCTCTCAACCTCGGCCCACTCAGCCCAGGACGGACAAGGCAGGTCATGGAGCGAAGGCTGTGGCTGCTGGTGGTGCTGGTGGTGCTGTGGAGTGACGGTGGGGCAACGGCTCCCTGGGGCCCTTCACGCTGCATGCCCATTCCCCAAGCCATGACACTGTGCCACGGCATTGGCTACGCAGAGATGCGGCTGCCCAACTTGCTGGACCACGACACAGCAGCCGAGGCCATCCAGCAGTCAGTCAGCTGGCTGCCCCTGCTTGCCCGGGAGTGCCACCCTGACGCCCGCCTCTTCCTCTGCTCCCTCTTCGCCCCTGTGTGCCTCGACAGGTAGGGCAGAGGCTCCCGGACACAGGCGGGAGCCTCTCCTCAGCCAGGGCCTGCTCTGGTAGCAACTTGCCTCTTCACTAACCCTTGCTGAACACGGTCAGGGTCACCTGTGGTGTTCCTAGTGGAGGGGAGCAGGTGTCCATGGGATCAAAGGAGATGTAGGCAGGGGACCACCAGCGTTGAGCACCATGGGGTCCAACCCTCAGTCTAGACTCACAAACTATCAAGGTTCTTGAATGCTGAGGTGTAGCTGGGGGCCAGGAGCACCTCTCCAGTGAGGTGTGGGAGCTCAGTCTGCCCAAGGAATCCTGGCAGGAGATGGAGCCATGGCTCCTCCTGGGCCTCAAACTCTCTTCGACCCATCTGGTGGTCTTTTCTTGCAGAGTTCCAAGATGGAAAGGCCAATTCCTTTTCCTCAGCCTACCCTATCCTGTGAACAACTGCTCCCTCAGCTCTCTCTTCTAAGAGCAAGGGCCCTTCCCAGAGCCTCCAGCCACCCTGCCAGCAACAATGGGTTCTTTCACTGCACGAGGACAGGGACCCCTGTACTCTTCGCCAGCCTCAGCGGTGGCCAGAGACTGCAGAGCCCTGAAGGCCTTTCAAAACAAGAGGCAGGGCCCTGCCCTCGCCCCCCAAAATTAAAGTGAAGGCCCAAGGTGCAGGGCCCCTCCCACACCCGTCTCTCTGACAGGAGACTGCTAACCCAGCTAGAGCCAGCAGTGCTCTGGAAAGAAGCCTGGGCTACAGGCAGAGGGGGCGGAGCGCCCAGAACAGCAGGGTTGGGAGCCGAGGGTGGAGGTGCGCGCATACAGAAAACCAGGCTGCAGGGCAGTTGCTAGGTGACCAAAGTGTCGTTGCCCAGCGACCGCGGGGAGTCACCTGCCACACTGCAGTGCCAGGAGCGTGGAGAGGCTCCAGCTGATCTGGGGGCCCAGCCCGCAGCCCCCAGGCCCTTGTACTGAACCTCCTGACACCCCTGAGCCTGTTTCCCACAGGGTTGTCTACCCCTGCCGCAGTCTGTGCGAGGCTGTGCAGGCCAGCTGCGCCCCCATCATGGCCTGCTACGGCTACCCCTGGCCAGCCATCCTACACTGCGGGCGCTTCCCCGCAGACCACGGCCTCTGTGTCGCCGCCATTGCCAACAGCTCGCGCTCGGACAGCCCACGTGAGTCCCCGCACGGCCTCCCGGCTGCGCTCAGCCCTTTCAAATCACCCCCGGCGGGAATCAGGTGAATGAGTCCCTCTGGCGGGAAACAAAAGGGGCCTCCCACAACAGGGGTCTGTCTCCCAAAAGGCTAAGAACAAGGGGAAAACCGGGGACCCACGCCGGCCGCGCCCCTCCCCAGGTGACTGCCTCACACCAGCTCCTCCCCCCCAGTGCCGCGCGCCAGCTGCAGGGACTGCGAGCCGCAGGACGCGCGCTCTTCCAAAGACGTCCTGGACACGCTCTGCGCCAGCGACTTTGGTGAGCCCCGAGCGTGCAGCATCTCTTACACATCCCTTACAAGTGCCTTCACGCCAGTTCCTGGCTCAGTGCCAAGGCGAATGTTAAGAGGCAATACCCAAATACTATGTGTGGTTAGAGCTAAAAAAAAAAAAAAAAAAAAAAAGAATTTACACATGGGACATTGCTGAAACAACAACAACAAAAAAACCCTGCTGAGGAGGTGGTAGCTGGAGGACAGCCCTTCCCTGAGACCCTGTTTCCAAGAGCAAAGCGTCACACAAGAGGGTGTAGTTTGCCAGGTGGAGAGGACGGGTTGGGGGCCGCCTCATCGCCTGTGCCCTCTGATCCGTGCCCCTCTGATCCGCTTCAGCAGTGAAGGTCAGGCTCTCCTGGTGCAATGGGACGTCCTCTGGCCCCTCGGATTGCGACCTGGACTCCCGGCTGGAAGTACTGAAGGCAGGCCCACTGCCCCCTGCAGAACTGGCTCCCACCCTGAGACGATGGCTGCAGCTGGACGCCACGTGCGTGCACAATCTCCTGCGCCGCATGCACGCCGGGGCCTACATGCTGAGTGGGGAGGTGCAGGGCAGCCGGCTCCTCGTGACCACCGCCTACCCCTGGAGCCGGGCCAACCGCAATCTGCAGCTGGCCGTGCACAAGTGGCGCCATCACCAGTGCCCAGAGTAGGATTGGTCGGAGGTGGGGAGAGCTTGGGACTTTGTAGGCATAGCCTCTGCAGTGGCCCGGCAAAATGCACGTGCCCATGGACATTCATAAAACCTTCTTTCTGCTGCCCCCCATGGGGATTTCCAGACAAGAGTCCAGAGAGGCCCAAGGCTCCCCCAGGAAGAGCTCATAGAGAGCTTGCCCACTTTGCGTGTACACAGCTAGGAGCCTCTGCCAGAGCAGGTAATGCTCTACCCGCAAAGGGAGAAGGCAGGCTCCTGCCAGCACCTTTCTGACCTTCCCAGGCATGGGATGACAGCCCAGCTAAGGCCAGGCTACCACCCACAAGCCCCAGCACCCCAAACTGAGTCAGGGCAGGCACAGTCTCAGGCTATGCTCACCTTGGGCAGGATGCTGCTTGTCAAGGTCCAGACAGACCCAGTTCCACCTGCTGACACTGAGTCCATAGCTCTGCCAAGCTGCAGCAAGCACACGGAACAGCAGGGATAAAGGGGGTCCAGGCAGAAAGCTGCATTAAGCTGCTTAAAAACCTGAACTAATATGCATACCAAAATTCTCTCCCTATTTCTGGGCCTCCGGTGTGTGTCATGAACACAGTGGTCTTACCTAGCTGCCTGTTTTCTTAAGCTGAAAAAGAGTACATTTGGAAATCCCGTAATAAAGCAAGTCATGATTTTAAAATAAAATGTTCTGTGTACTGGTGGCAGTTACTTTTTCATCTTCAATAATTAAGAAAACAAAAAATTCTCGCTGGCCCACTGGAATTGCCCCCTGCTGCCCTTGAAGAGGTGCTAGGTCAGGAGGTCCTGATGGTGGAGGCCACTCTGAGCAAGCAGGTAGGTGCTGGGTTAGGAATGCATGGTAAGCCCCTCCAGCCAGCCATGAATTACCAGCACTGGATACAGCTCCAGGCACTGGACACACAGCAAGAACAAGTCAGCCCTCCGACACATGCAGCTCACCTTTGGGGGCAGAGGCACAAATGACACAAATAAATACAGAAGACAGTTTCCAACCTTTTAAGTGCTGAGAAGGAAACCAAGCAGGCTGATCTAACAGGATGTCTGGGAACCTCCAAGGATGGGTGGTCACGGGAGGCCTCTGAGGAGGGGACATCTGAGTAGATGCCTGACGGAGGTTGTTATGTACTGAATTACATCCCCCAAAAATATGTGTTGTAAATCCTAACCTCTATGCCTGTGGTTATAATCCATTTGGGAATGGGCTGTCTTTGTTATGTTAACGAGGCAGGATTAGTGTACGGTGTGTCTTGAGTCAGTCTCTTTGGAGATGTAAGAGATTAAACAACTGAACAGAGAGAGATGGGGTAAGATAGGTGCCGAGACACATGGAGATCTCCAAGGAACCAAGAAGCAGAAGCTGAAAAGACAAGGACCTTCCTTCGGAGCCGACAGAGAGAGAAAGCCTTACGCTAGAGCTGGAGTTCTGAATTTGGACTTCTAGCCTCCTAAACTGTGAGAAAATAAATTTCTGTTTGTTAAAGCCATCCACTTGTGGCATTTCTGTTATAGCAGCACTAGATGACTAAGACAGAGGTGAAGGCACCATCTGTGGGAAGAGCCAGGCTTCAGCCTCCTGGTGGCAGGAACAGCATATACAAAGGCCCTGAGGCGCAATGAGCTTGGTGTCTGAGAATCAGAAGGGAGTGAGTGACGTGAAGAGGTAGGAGATGAAGCCTGAGAGGTAAGAGGGCCAAGGGGCACAGAATGAGACCTAGAAGTGTAATGAGAAGTCTTGGAGACTTTTAAGGAAGGGAGTGATGAGATTTGATCTGCCATTTAAAGACAGAATTAATGCAGAATGAGGTGACGCGAAGGGAGAAGTGAGTCACATGAAAGAAGGCAACATCCCCAGAGAGCTGACAATGACTCAGAACTGGGGCACCCCCTTCTGAACTGAATTTGTCAGGACGAAGTCCTCAGCAGACTCCTGATAGCCCAAACCTTTAGGAAATACCTACCACAGTCAGGGGAGGACCTTTTGTAGCCCAGGTCCCACTCACCAAATGTCTCCAGGACAGGTGGGAAACAAGAAATGTTCCCTGAAGAGAGAGCCTGGAGGTTGCATGGGTCTTCCCTGTGAAGTGGTGGCATTCCCTTCCATGGAGAAGAAGGCACTTTGGGGGTGGAGCCCCGGCCCCCTTAACCCCGCTCATATCCTGGGCACCCACCCCTTCAGCCCTGGCATCTTGGGTCTCCAAGGCTACTGGGTCACAGGTTTGGAACCAAAAGCAGCAGGGCAGAGGGGACAGAGCTCACAGCAGGCCCACTCCCCTTGGGCCCTGCCTGCTTTTTTAGGGTCACAGTAGACAGCAGACTGATGGATGGACAGACAGGCAGGTACAGAAGCCAGACAGACTCCGCTCCTTCTTAGGGTGAGGGGTCTTGTTTTGGATTCATCCAATAACAGCATTCAGGAACTGCCCCTTCATGGGTACCCTTGCCCCTTTGGTTTCCCTCTCTCGGGACTGGACTTCCTGGTTACTTCTGTAACCACTGATCTCTTTATTCACTCATCCTGACACAAAGCCCACCTCATTTCCCCAAACAGCAAGCCTTGGGACTTTTAGGGTAAAACTCGGACGTCCTTCATTGACTGACCTGAGGGTAATTTAACTGTTTTCAAGGAGACAGTACCATAAGCAGGAAGTTCTTGCTGCAGCTGCCCAGTTCTCCTAATCATGCCCTTTTAATTTGTCTGAAGAAACAGGGACCCATCTGAACCAGTTTACTTCTTGTCAAATCTCGTTTCCTGAGGTTTACTCTTGGTGACTTCGGGTCTGGGTTTCTCATTCTCTGCTTTGTAGGACTTTGACACAACAAGCTGCATATTGGCCTCATGAAGGAGCCCTGGTGGCATAGTGGTTAAGCACACGGTTGCTAACTGAAAGGTTGGTGGTTGGAACCCACCAGCTGCTCCACAGGAGAAGGATGTGGCAGTCTGCTTCGGTAAAGATTTACATCCTTGGAAACCCCGTGGGACAGTTCTACTTTGTCCTATAGGGCCTCTATGAGTCAGAATCGACTCAACAGCAATGGGTTGACATCACGGCTCACTTAAGTCTGAATTAAATACATACAGGCCTCAGGAAAGCTGACGAGAGACAGCACATCCCTCTCAGATGTGTGTGTTCATAGCAGCAGTAAGGGGGTGAGTGTTATTCCCTCTGCTTGGATCACCCTTCTCCCAACAACCACCTGGCTCAATCCTGCACCTCTTACAGATCTTCGCTCAAATGATTTTCTCACGGAGGCCCACCCTGGCCACCCTACTTAGAATTTCAACTACAGTTGAATTCTGCCTTATCTGTCTGCAATAACTTATCACCCTCTGACACACCATTCGTATTTATTTGTGTTATTTGTCGTCTGACTCCTCCCCCATTCGAACGTCAGCTCCATTTTTTGTTCTGTTTTCCTATTCTGTTCAATGCTGTGTTCCCAGCACCTAAAACAGAGGCTGGCACAGACTTCAATGTTATTCAATAGTAATCATCGTAATAATAATGATGACAAAAGGACTGACATCATAACCGACTTCCCCACAATTAGCAGGCATGTGACGTCATTCCCATAGGTCTAGGCAGAATCCCCAAGCAGGGCCCTCTCCCCCAGGGGTAATAGTATGTGCTCATATGCTCTGCTTAGGCTCCAGCCCCCTTCTTAAAGTCTCCTACCCACTCCACCCCCAGCAGCCAGGAACAGCCCCAAGTTGGCAGAAATGTATGCCTTGAAGTGGGGTACTCAGGGCTGGGCTGGGCAAGCCTACCATAGGCAAGGTCCATGGGTCTGGGGCCCCCACCTTGATTGACATGGGTAGGCTTTGAAGGACTCCAGGGTCTTCACAGGTAGCACTGTGGCTTTAGAGTGCAGGCTGCCTGGGTTCCAATCCTGGCATCGCCACTGAGCTGGCTGGGTGTCTGCCTCACTTTCTCACCCACTAACTAACTTGAGAGTGGGAACTATGCCCACCTCACAGAGGGGTTGTAAGGATTCAATAAGGCGATCACATGAAACCTAGCACATAATAAGAGCTCAGAAAACATGAACTATAATGCTGGCTCCACATGACTTGCCCTGGAAGGCTTTGCCTGTGATGGCTGAACACAAAGACTCCACCTAGACTGTTTGTAGCAAAGGCTGGTGTCCCAGTGGGGCAGGCTTGAGGGTGCCAGCTTATCCACATTTGGAAAGCCTGCTTCTCATCAGACCACAGGGGTGGGATACCCCCCGCAAAGGCTCTGAGATCAGCTGTAGACCAGATTATCAGTCTTCCACCCTCCCCCCACTCTAGAATGTGACAGAATTAATTGTGGCAGGGATGTCCAAAGACAGTATCAAAGAAATGTTTAGACACTAGCCTAAGGGTCACATTGCCCAGCCCTGTGCTGGATCAGCTGCAGAGAGGAGGAGTCAGAGACAAGTGTGCAGAGGTCACCCCTTTACACTGTTATGGGGGTAGGAGTGCCACTTCACTTTGGTAAACATCTGGGTGGAAAAAAGAAAGGGCTACTTTGAAGCGGCCATTTTCAAAACAGATGTCACGTGGTCAAAATGAGTCTCAAGGCAGCCACGAACCGCAGCCCCCACTGGCCCTTCCCAGGAGCGCCGAGCCGACTTACCGAAGAGCAGCGGCTTGAGGCTGAGGGTTCGGATGTAGTGGTCCCTGTCTGCGACCAGCTGGACTTTGCGTTCGTGCCCTACCTAAGGGAGAGAGGCACAGCGGGCAGCTCCGTGGCCAGGCTGCCTGGGCCTCCCTCTCGTCGCCGGACAAGGGGAATGTCGCCCCAGCCCAGCGCGTGGCAGTGGGCGAGTGGGTGAACCCGGGGCGCACAGTGCCGGGGGTAGCGTGGGGGTGCTGCGAAGGGGCCGCACGGCCTCGGTCGTCTCCAGCTCGGCCCTGCAGAACCTGAAGCAGGTGGAGCGGGTGTCCTCACCTTGATGCCCTCAAGCCGGGTGAGGGGGCCCAGGGTTGGCGCGGGACCCGGGCCCTGAGCACGGCGCTGGGGCCTGGGGTCGGTGGTCTCATCGCCGTTGCTGTAGTGCACGAAGAGGAGCAGCGCCAGCACGTTGCCCAGGTACAGGTGCACAAACACCATCAGCACTAGGAAGTAGGCGCGCGAGCAGATGCCGCGGGGCTTGCACAGCGGCCGCACCGGCGCGTCCTCGCTGTCGCTTAGCCCCGTGGCCACGCGCGCCCGGCAATGCTCAGGCGGCGCCCACTGCGGACCCGCGGCCTCGCTGG